TTTAAGAAATAAATGAAAGTGTACTATGATAGTATTAGATACAAATAACATAAATATACTGTTGATGATATTCTTAGTAACATGGTTTTCATTTTATCATGGTTTTTCAAAACTGCCCCAATGCATTTCAAATGTGCCCCATCCACGGGGCACATTTGAACAAAATTGAGTTTTAAAAAAACAGAAATTGTGTTACATTTAACAACTCAAAATAAATAAATATCATTTTTGTTATGTAGTATAAGCCCCATATCTAATATTAAAATAAATTAAATCTTGATTAGTAATACCATACAAGAAATATTATATTTTACTTAAAAAGTGTTCTAATGTGCCCCTCTCCCCTACGCTGCGATCTTTAACGAGGTTTTATCAATATACAGTGATTCTAGGTTTCTATGTAGGTATAATACAGGACCGCGCGGGCGAAACGAAAACTAGTAATTTTTCTAGCTCGTAACGAGACACAACGCATTGTGAAAAAAATAAAACTGAATATTGTGCTGAAATGGTGTATTTCAAACTGAGTGATAAATAACAATTAATTAATAAGTCTTAAATGGCTTCGTAGAATGTCTTCGTATCAAACCAATATTACCTATACAACAAACATCTTGTTATTGTACAAAATCTTTTTATGTATAAAAAGGTACACACAGCAACACATCGGATTAGTACAAAATGCAAAAATTCAGTAAAGCTTAAATATCAGCAAATCGCTTTTTAATAGAATTAGGCGCTTCCTTGCTACGATATTACGAACTTAACATTTGTAACTGGGTGTGAAATTTTCTAAATATCGTAGGTACTTTCACAATTAAAAGTTTTAAATTAATTGGGAAAATTTGGTACTTGACTTGTAGACTCTGCGTTAGCGTAACAATGCAAAATAAATATATTAAATTCATATTTTCATTCCAAAACAATAAAGTTTAATAAATAATAGAAAGTTAAAGTCTTATAATGATAATGCTGCTATTCTCAACAACCGAATTATATTAAATAAATGCTGTATAATATGAAACAGTTTATATTATTAAAGAAAAATGCTTAAATGAGATGGGATTCGAAACCACGACCTGCTCTTTAGCTCCTGGGTAGCTGTGGTTAGAGCAGTCGCCCGGATCGCAAATAATACCATTAGCGACACAGTTCTCAAAATGTTGTATTGAAAAACTTAGTTCTCATTACGGTAGTAGGTAGCGCTGTTTAATTATAAAGAACTGATAATGTGACATACGAATTCGATTCGCTCGCACTCGATAGTTTTAGATTGAAAAACATATCAATTTTAGACTTCAAGTATGCCAACTACTGCATGCGTGCATGTGTTACGACGTACACATATAAGAAATGTATTTACTCTGACAAACATATTTATCTGGAATTCACTGCCACTTATCCAATTATAAATGATAATTTTATCATAACATCTGTGTGTTCTTCTAGTAAAATTGTTTTTTTTTTTATTATTAAGTTCGCTGGGTTGACAGTCACGCTTATAATCAACTATTGATTTCAAACACTAACGGTCAGTTGCACAAACGTCCAATATGGTTTAATGACTCCTTTAATCTCTAATGAATGTCAAATTTGTATGGGTAATGTCGCTTTAAACTAATAATAATTTTAATGGACGTTTGTACAACTTACTGTTAATCTAACATATGAAAAATTGCAAGGATATCTCTATCCATATTCGCTATTGGATCGCTTATGATGATGATAAACTTAATTTCCAAATATTAAACCGACTAAAAAAACATCGTTCGATTTATTGACATGTGTTGCTTATATATATCCTTAAATGGCAAAATTAAATCATTGATTTTCATAAGGATTTTTTTATTACAAATTAATTCACCGAATTAATACGAACTAATTCCCCAAATCAAAATAAGCAAATCTGTCAATCTCCATTACTTTAATTTTTAGCTAAAGTAATGACATCTTTCAGCATTTCATGCTCCAAGACAATTATAAACCATTAGTACTCAGTAATTATAAGCTGCAGGTAGATTTTAGGTTACAATAAAAACCATCTGTTAAATAGTTATATTATTACATTACATAGTTATAATTAAAAAAATATATCATGACGTATAACTGAAAATTTATGCATGGCTAACATTATATTATACTAATAAATATTATAATTTATCAGTACAACTTATATTAAATAATTATATGATATTATATTTAACAATGGTATTAACCTACGAGATAACAATGTAACGCTAAATTACTTAAATAAATAGATATTAAATGCTTTTAAAAATTATGTTTATATAAATAAGAACTAGTGCATGAATAAAATAATTCATTGTAGAAACTTACAGTCCAATACCATGGCCGCCAAATCCTACTTATTTTATAAGCAGTAAAGAAAACCGTAAGAAGTTCATGGTAACTTTTTTTTGTATTTTGCGTAAAAAATACTACAACCTGTAAACTTTAAGTATGTACCTAAACGAATTGCTATATATTATTTTACATGTACGTACATACATGTTTATACATACATAATAGAACTAACAATAAGGCAGAAGACTCCACACATTTTACTTTACTTAAAAAATAAGTAAGGTAAGGCTAACATCACCCGGTTTTTGGACTACTAAAAACATATATAATGAACCCATCATTTTCAGATTATTACTACCTTCAGTACAATGAGAAACAATAAAATGTTTGGTCAAGATAATCATGTTACATTATTCAAATAGGTACAGTCAACTGCACGTCAGACTATACAAAACTGTCAAATTTCCCCACTCAATTTTAAACCTTAATACGCTGAACGTAGAGGTCAAAATCTATTGAAGAAATTTGACACATTGTGTTAAGCTGACGTGCGGCCGTATGTACATGCGGACGTCTATTCAATTCACAATGACATGATTCTACGTTTTATTTTCTGACTAGTATACAAAAAAAATACATCTCATTGCGCATTATTGCACTCTACCAATATGACTTTTACTTTTTACATATATACATCAACATGGCATCTTATATCACATATAAAAGGTTTGTAATGCCATACCAAAGCAACATTTAAATACACAGCCAATGTTTCATTTCTAACTTTTAAAGACATGCAGGGACGGCCTTAGTTTTTGTAATCCACAAATAATATCAAAGCCTCTACAGTCATATCTCTTATAATGACTGATCTTAAAGGAATTTGTCCTTTATATTTCATCACTGATTTGCTCATAAAAACCATTATCGAGAGTGTGAATAATATATAGTTAAAACTGGGGGCCAATTCTACTAAATAAATTTTGTTTAAATCGAATCGAAAACAGATCGAAATACAATACAATTTTAGCTGGAATTCTATCGTATGTCACTTATTAGAATAGAAAAACCATTAAAAACTGTAGTTTCGTTCGGTTTCGATCCGTTTTCGATTCGATTTAAACAAAATGTATTTAGTAGAATAGGCCCCCTGTTTACTGTTGTGTCTGAATGAAATAAAAATTTAAATCATTTCAAAAGACCTATAGTTGATCTAAGACCGCCTCTGCGTATTCATTATTTTATACAAAGCAAACTTCTCAAAAAATTTACAAGGCACAATGTTTGAGATTGACTTGTTTGACTTTTTATTTTATATGCAATATTACAATTCTTACAACTAAGACTAAATTGAAAGTTATAATTTTTGTCTAGTCAACATATAACATTTGACGTGCTATTATTGTTCTGGAACGCAACAAATCATTTTATAATTTTAATGCATGAATTTGGGACAAAAAATGGAAACTTTTTCTGTCAAATCCATAATCATTACTCATTGTCATTCATTCGTCATTATTAAAATAAAAGTATTAGTTAAGCGGTCGCACCTCTGATCAAGCAAACGTCATAAAAGCAGCTCAAAATAAACTGAGATAAAAATTAAGAAGTCATCGGTAGGTATTACTGTTTAAATTGTATATAAAAAAAATTGAATCGGTGTATAAGAGACGTACATCTTTAGCAATAGGCATTTAGCATTATAATAATACCTCAAAATAAGACAGGTACACGCGGCTGCACGTCAGACTACATTGTGGACTTTGTACCGACCGCGCTTCATATAGAACTTTCCTATTAACCGAGGTCTGCTTACGTGGTGGTGTGTAGCGTGACGTGCGGCCGTGCGTACATGACTTTACGAGATATCAACCTCCGCGTTTCTATGTAATATTGATGAATTTTTACAATACTTAACATTAACAAGTATTTACATATTATGGGTATAATTATTTGGGATTATTCGTTTTGAATGAACATTTGTTGCGGTGCTCGAGTCGCAAGCTTGAGCAAGCTTTTCGCCAACTTAGCATTTGCCGAGTAAGAACCTTCGTCCCAGCACGAAAATCAACGGTCTGGTTTTGCAACATCCAGCTTCCTAATCAAACGCCGAAGATAGGAATTGTAATAAAAAAAAATGTTATAATTAAAAAACAAAAATAAAAATTTTAATGACCTGTGTAGAGATTATTATTTAGAGAAACAATGTTAGTAAATAGTAGTTAGAGTGCTGGGTGTCATTCAAATTGTAATTAAATTACTCACCATTTATACATTTTTTTTTCAAATTACGGCAATAATTTATTTGTTAGTTCTAAAGGATAATAGCTCAGTAACACTGGTCGACGACGTCCGCGTGAGGGTTGCGTATGATTTCTTTGGCTCGCTTCCATTGGTCAGTCATTGTTTTACTGACCAATGAGATGAGCCCGCAGAGGTCATCTGCACTCCACATGCTGACCCTGACGACCTGGGTTAGTAGAATAATAAATGGCAATGCTGTATACCACAATCTCATTTTGGTACTATTTCTATTTGATGAAATGCTTGGTTCGCGAAACAGTCGCGTTCTGAATGCTTGCACCATATCAAAGTGAATACACACAGTGAATACAGTCCTTAAAATAAGTTAAAAGAATATACAATATACAACCTTTCTAATAATGCAGAACAACCTTAATTTTGTTTTTTTTTTTAATTGTTTAATTATCTTTAATATACACTGCATATTCTCAACTGCTGCAGAGAGTACATGAAACTAGTTTCTAGTTTAGACTATATTTGAAATTTTATTATAAAAGATTAAGAATGTTTAAAACCTAGATTTTAATTCACAGTAATCTCTTGATGCTTTTAATTATTTTACCATTTTGTATGAGTTTAATGTTAGATTTGTAATTCTTGATAGTTACTGCTAGAAATGTTGCTATGCCAATAACCACACTAAAATCTTAACACATAATATTGCAAATGTTAACATCGAAACTCGATAATGCATCCTGCATAATTTTAACAAAATTTAAGCAATTCTGACTTGAATAGTTCTTTCAATAGCACTTCTACATAATGGACAACCATCCATCTCATTCTTTGAACAAACAAGACAACAACACATATGACCACAAGGAACAAAAACTACTTGACAATTTGAATCCATACAAATAACACATTCAGATTCATATATTGAGCCATCTACTTCATCAGCTGTTACTACTCCAGTAAAATTCTGCTCTTCTACACAATGCTCAGGGGGAGCACTTGGTTTTGAGGAATCAGGCATATCAATATCATTTTGATAACTTTGGTTCTTCGCTCCTACATAACTATCTATTGCTTTAAGAACATTTTCTCTATCAGAAGACAAAGAAATGCCACAATCTTTTAAATTTTCATAAGTAATATCTAGCAGGGAGCCTTCTGAAAAAAGGAATTTCACTAAAAAAGGTAAACAATGTATAACACCATGTTGTAACAGTTGATTAGCGAAAGCTGGATCCAAATGCTTGCCCATTACCAACAAGTTCCTTGGGGCTGAATCAATTAACTTCTGATAATTTTTCAACCAAAAATCTGAACTTATAACACATGTCTCACTTTCCATGTCTTTTAACATCTTAATTAACTGATGTCTCCGTTTAGACTGTTGGTCTAACAGATCATCTAATAAATTAACCATTTGCATTCTCTGGTGTAGCAATGTATTATAATTATAAGAAATTTGCATCTTCTTCTTCTCTTGTTCAATTGCACTGAGTCTAGCTAAATGTGAAGAAATCAATGAAATCTCTTCATTTAAACTCCATGTTCTGGCATCAGTCTTTTCCATTAAAGAAGCTACTAATGCCCTTTGAACATCTTGATCTTCTAACAACTGCCCTACTAAGGCTGTGCGTGACTGATCCTTCGCTTGTAGCAATTCCTCTAATTTATCATTGCCTTCCAACTCTTGCATTAATGCACTTTGCTTTACAGAAATCAAGCTGTTTTCATAGTGATTTTTGGAATGTTGGATATAATAATCCTCTTCTATAAGCATTTCCATTGCCTTTAAGACTTCTGACTTTTTAACATTATCATAGTTTTGTCTTACTATTTCCAGGAGCCGATCATGTTCAGATTGCTCATAAGCTAACTGCTGCTGCAAAATTTCTGGTTTCAAAAATTCTGATTGTATAAACTGATTAACTAAAACTTCGATATCTTTTTCATCTTCTTGTATTGCTTTTAATAATTTTTGACGTTCTATCTCTTTACTTTCATGTACTTTAGCAATCTCAGAGTCCAACTGCTGCTGTTCTTGAATAACTGTTGACAGAAATTTTTCTCTTTGCTGTTTAGCAGCTTCATGGTATTTATTTTCTTGTTCTACAATGGCAGCTTCTTGTTCTTCCCATGTTTTTGTACTGTGTTTAAAAAATGGATTGAAAATAGTACTTGGTGACTGAATCGATTCCATTTCTGTGTCCAAAGGATTTGGTGGAATGTAATCAATATTTATCTTTCTACATAAATACTTCATGATTTCCTCTGTCCCAAGTGACACAATATCTGATGGTGGGAAAATAAACTCTGCAGCATCTATTTCAATAGATACTATATTTGTTGCTAAACATAATTCAGGGCATAATTCTTTTAAGGTGTCATTTTCTGTAATCACTAGTTTCCGCAAGTTTTTTAAATTTCCTATTGCTGGTGTTAAATGTTTGAGTCGGTTTCTAGACAAATTAAAAATCTTGAGATTTTGTAATGCTTCTATGCTATCAGGTATGAATTGTAAATAGTTTTCCTGCACATAGAGCTCAGTTAAATTTACCAAGTATTTAATATCATTAGGTATTTTTGAGAATTTATTAGAACTAATGTTGAGCACTTTGATAAGATACAAATCTGATAAAAGCCCCCCACCATCTAATGAATCCAACTTATTTTCTTGTAAATACAAGTTTTGTTTTCTGTACACTCTGCAATATAAATATATACCGGATGGCACACGCCGGAGTTCGCAATCCGATATATCAAAATCAGGTTCGGGAGACTCCTTTGCAAGATACAATTTTCTCTCTAACTTAGCTTGCAAATCACTGACACTATTGTCGGTTTTTCTACCAAACAACGACATTGTCATTTGTTGCATACACGAAACTGAACAACCCATTAATTTAATGAAAAATAAAATATCACATACAATTTTCCAGATGTCACCGACAATAATTTAACATCGCTGCAAGTCCAAGCCACTAAATATTTATTGCACTTATTATCATGTGAATAAAACCATTTTAAATAAACATAAATCAATTCTTATCATTCTCCGCCTCAATCTTCATAAAAAACGTCAACAACAAGTCCAAGAATATGGATGTGAAAAAATAATCGATATGAATCGTTTACAAAAGTTTTTATTGTGATTTATTGTTATGAGTACTTAACATCTGTTTCATATAGAAACATATTTAAATATTTCAATAAAAATACATGCTAATACATCCAAATGAGTACTTATTAAATAAAGTAAATGACAGTGACATTCCAGACCAAGTATTCTTCATGCTTTTTCCATATGCAGTAGACATGCTATTTCGTTGACTAACATTACACTCAAAACCTTTTTGGCAACTCTGTTAGGTAGAAGGATAGGATATGTTGTTTACAAATCTTACAGCTACTTATACTAAAACGTAATATAAAATAAACCAAATCCTTAAAACTATAAACACAAAACTTAACTACTTAACTGATATTGATATTTTTTATATAATAGGTAACACTAAAAATACTTTTCTGAAAACCGCGTCAATACCTAAAACCTTCTCTTAAGTCTGGCAAATACTATGCTGAAAACTGCATCAAAATCTGTTCAGCCAAATTTAAGGCGCACAAATATACATACGTTAAGGTTAAACTAAGAATCTCCTTTTTTGAAGTCGGAAGAGAAACACGACTTTTTATATATTTTTATAAGGAGCTCATCATAGATACAAGTCTTAATATGCTATAGATACAAGTCATAAAAGAAATTTGCCTCTATTTCCCTGTCAAAAATACATCCAGTAAATAGCGCAAAATTTTAGAACGAATAATGCAATAATTAAAACGCTCATGACTTCTATTAGCAAGTTAAGCATAGCACTTATTAAGTGCTTCGGCTAGTTGCGAACTACCCAAATTAACTGACGGCTGATTGATGTAAAGCACAGCATTAAATTCTCAAATCTTGAGCAAGCAAATGAATAAAGAAACTTACTACTTCCAACTGCTGTATTTCTCAAGAACAAAATACATCTACAGTAGAGAATAGCTATTGGGTTCAGCTAGTCTAATCCAGACTGGTTATGAAAAATAATTAGTCATACTTTTAGAGAATCGATATTTTGAATTCAGTGTTACATCCCTATTCTTTGTTATTTTACTATCAATGTCAAGCGCAGACAGCGAATGTCAAACCTCAGTGTCATGTTGTTTTTTATTTTTTATTTGGTTCATTTGTCCCCTTTGTTTGGGACGGGCAAAGGATGTTAGATCCATACAACCCTGCCTGGATTTTCTTAATCTTTAAATTTTTTGAACTGTCTTTTTGACAAATCTGTATACAGGAACATAGCTGTCAATGTTTGATTAGAGTTTTCTTAAGTCGCGCGGGATGGTTTCCTTGTTAAAAATCTTCATTCTTTGTAATTCTTGAAAGAGGTTTTTTCTTTGAGTTTTAAATGAAGGACATTTGAAAAAGATATGATCTAGTGTTGTTTTTTATTGTAGTACTAGCTGTGCCCGCGACTTCGTCTGCGTGGAAAGTATTTTGGTAGAGCTCATTTTTCCTATGAATGCAGACGAATCGAATAAGATCAATCGGCCATAACCCACTACGCGGGCTTAATGCGGATCGGTGGGTGTTAACGTTGCTGATGCAGCCAGGACTAACGGCTTAACGTGCATTATGCTAGTGTTGTGCACAGTGCTCAAGATAATAATGTTTTGGTCACCCATCCTGTAAACGGTCCTTACGAATGTTATTTTTCTATTTTTTCTCGTTTCTCGCGCTCTGGTTGTTGCTTGTGTCTGAGCATTTTATTCGTACCTTGAAACGGTCCTTCTTTTGTTTTTGATCTTTTTAAATTATTATTATTTGTCTAGTTGTATACACAATCGGCTATTTATTGTTCTATTTTTCATGTAATGCGAGTTTGCTTGGAAGAAATCGCTGGCTAGCGATGAGTTTGTCGTTTGTACTTATTTATGTAAAATAAGTATTCATGTATGTACTTGTTGTTCAGTATTTACTTACTTATTTAACTGCAATTTAAACCGAATGCGCTAACCCACTACGACATCGAACCCCTTATACCTAAGCTATACTAATATTATAAAGAGGAAAGATTTGGTTGTTTGTTTGTTTGCATCGAATTTACTCCAATACTACTGGACCGATAGTTGTAGAGCGATTCCGACCTACGGGAAGCTACATCAGACGCGCATGTCATAGGCTATAATTTTGCGGCAAAGTCGTGGGAAAATAGCTAGTTAATTATACCCTGTGAAAACTTATCTGCGGTACGCCTGTGAAGTATGAAGTCAACACGGGTTGGCGATAATCGAAACTACTTTCTCGATCTCTGTTGTGCAAACTGCGAGCTCTTTAAGAGACCAAGCGCATTTCCCTATCAAAAGAAGTTTCATACTCATACCATACTGCATGTATGTAAATGTGCATGAGCTTCGCGATGGGCAGTTAAATACGCTTCGCGTTTTTCAGGTGTCTCCCGAGACCTAGCGCTTTCTGTCTGATATCTGTCTATAAAAGTCGATCAATACATGTCTGACGGAAGATACGTGGAGTTTTATTTATTGATATAAAAATAATATATACATATTTTAATTTCGACTTTCCACACTCGAAGGAAATCGTCTACTAACATACTTCCGTGAGGTGCTTAACTGAGCTTCTGTCAGATTTGAACGGCCCTCATCATCATCATCATCATCGTTAAAGAGGATGGGCCACGACCCTCCATGCTGGCACAATGTGGATTGGAGGATATTAACGACTGCAAATACAACCGGGACCAATCGCCTTAAGTGCTTTCCGAAGCTTGGAGTTACTTGAGATAATATTTTTTGATCATCCATCCTGTGCCCGACCTTTGCGAAAGTTGCTTAACAACTACAATCGCGGGCCATGGCGCTTATTCACTACGCCACCGAGCTACTCTGAACCGACCCTCAGACACTCGCGTAATAGTATATGAGTGTTGTGACCAATGAATAAAGCATTGTTTCCAGCGAAGACTGAAAATACCAACTTTGAAGTAAGTATCTACAGCAATTTGTATGTTAAAAACACAAAGACAGACACAAAAAAGAGTATTAACATAAAAAAATAGCAATAAGAGAAAAAAATATATATAATTCGAGTTGTCTTTACGTTCTTAACTTCAGTTGACGTGAATCTAAGTTTTTTAACGTCGTGGAAAAACTTCTGACATTGTCTCTGTTACCTGGCAAGCAACAGAGGTGAGTAGGATTCTCCTCCGTGAACCCGACAGTGAGCTGCCCGGTGGGTCCCCAGAGGCCTACCCATCAAAACCCGTACTCTACACCTTCCCATGGGAAACGAAAACCGGCAAGCTATGGCCGAGTCACCAGGACACTCAAGTATTGGACCATTGGTCCCCTTGCAGATGGAAAATTGGAGAGACTCGGGTAAATCGAGTGCCTCTCCCAGACAGACGAAACCGTGCAATGCGGGAGCAGCTGCCAACCACCTTCGCTGGCCCCGACGACGACGTGAAGGCTCTTTCCCCTTGTTCTTCTACTCGCGTGATCGTATACCACATGTCCATTATAAGCTGAACCCTATTAAATATGATTGGCCATATATAAATGAGGTCTACTTACTTCGGAGTTGTCAAAATTTTGGAATCTTATTTTATTATTTGTCATCATACAAATTATCATTTTATAGACAATATTAACTCGTAGCTCGGTGGCGCTACGGATATGCGCCGCTGAGCACGATCGCTATTGCTAAGCAATTTTCGCAAGAGTTGTTCACGGGATGGGTGACCAAAAATTCTTAAACAAAGGCGTGAGGCTCTGCAGTTTGGCTGAGAAAGAGTTAATGATGATGCTCAATATATCAAAGATGAAAATTTATAAAACAGTAAATATTTCATAGCAATTTTGGCGACCACGTCACTTCAAATTGACATAACTTTTTTATTTGTGAACCGATTGAAATAAATTTTACTCTAAATGTTAACGGAAGAATGCCGCAATATAATAGTGAAAACTGCATTTAAATCGGTTCATCCGTTTCTGAGATTATCGTGCACAAACGCACAGACAAACAGACAAACCGACAAACAGACAAACAGACAAAAAAATTAAAAATCATTGTTTTGTGTTCTATTACTATTATAAATGTCCCTTATAACAGTTTTTTTCATATATTTTCAATGTACAGACATCGATCGGTTACGTTTTTATTATAGTATAGATATAGATAAAGTAAAGGAATCGTGTTTATATAGCCTAAATGTAAATAAAATCTGCATTTGATTTATAGCCAACATCACGGAGATTCATATAAAAACTCCCTTGACACTAGAACATAATAACAACTATCATTGGGTAGGTATTATACCTACCATGAAGTTTATATATCTATATAATTATTTTTACTTTAATTATACTTAACTATCCTTCGATCAACAATACCTACCGCAGCTGTTTCACACTTTCTGCAGTAAATTTTGCGACTTTTCTAATTTAAAGAAATGAGTGAATTGATTATATAAAAATCTACATGAAACATTTTTTGAGTTCCAATCTCAAAAAGAAAAGTCGGGACTCGTATAAGATCATTTGGTTTTCTGTCTGTTCGTCAGTCACAGCAGAATTTATCTGAATAGGTACTAGACCGATTGAGAAGAAATATGGCATATAATAAGTAAGTTTATGACCTAAAAGAGGTCGTGCAACGTAAATACGTAGGTATGTAGTTACAAATAGTAGTCCTATTTTAATTCTCTAAATATTTTGACAAACGATTGGAGTAAAGCAAAATAAGTATGTATGTAATTAGACAATAATAAGTAATAAACACTCCTAAAACTAGAATTATTTGGGTATCACTTCAATTTTTTTGTACATTCTAGTTATCTTAATAAGTAGCTACGTCGTCAGTAGTGGACAGATTTACTTTATTTATTTTTTACGGATTTGCTTTAAACGATATAGATACCTATTCTATATCAAAATTTTATAACAATCAGACCAAAAATGTAATTGAAACAATTTTTTTTCTTAAAAATAAATGAAAGAACTATAACGATCATCTCGATTATGTTGACGATGTTATCGTCACTGAAATATTATTTTTAACAAAAAAACTTGAATTAAGGTTGTTATTATGAATATATTTTTTTAATGATTTAAAGTAATTTTGCCCAGAAGGGCTCCATGTTTTATTATGATCAATAAAATAACAAGTCGAAATATAATAATATTTGTACAATTTTAATAAACTAACAGTCTTCACACATTTAAAACTTAGTTAAGACAATATTATTTATAGAGAAACTTGTCACTATTGAAATAAAATAGCATCTTCTCACATAGAAAACGATAAAACCAAAAAGCACGATGGAACCAGTGCTTAGCAAAATATTTAATTGAATCACATCATCAATCTTTATATTCCTCTGCAAGAAAGATAATCTTTTATTCGCCCGATTTATTCTCCACAGAATAATAACGTTGATGTGGTTGATAGTTTTGAGAACTTTGAAGATGAAATTTATGCCAATCTTGGTCTAGTGGCACAATTCTTGATTCAAACGACGTATACGCCCCTTCCTGCTCCGGTGAATATAAATCTGTATAATATTCATTAGAACTTTGTGGTTCATATTCAAAACTATCATCAAAATATTTAAAATCATTTTTCTTTCCGTATTTATTGTCTGTGAACAAATCTTTATCATAATCAACTAAATGTTTGAGGTCTTGTTTTTTGTACCAATCGTCGTAGGCAAATGGCGTATCGACAAATGACTTATAATGGTTCTTATCCACAATATTTTCTTGTTTATCACTTGGATTGTAAATTTCACTGTAATTGCGTATATTTTTCAAGTGCTCGTATGTAACATGAATAGGTGTGGGTGACTCAGTAGAAAAATGTAATTGATTTTTAAATGGCGCTGAAGTAGTAGCTTTATTTTGTTCCTTTGTTGTAGATGGTTTATTTTCTTCTTTCGAAATATTCTGTTCGATCTCTATATTTTTAAACTTTTCGGGGTCAACTACTATTCTATCAGGATTCTGCTGTTTTTTCTCAGATATAAGTGAAACTGGTCCATCGTTATGTAAACTTTTAATATATTCAGAGGTTGAATTTTTAAGAACTTCTGATAGCTTATCAGAAAACAATGGATTATTATTATTAATTTTTTTCGGATCTTTACCACGATTACTAAAATCCATATAATCAGCATTCAGTGTGTAAGATCCAAAGTCTGGCGTATGTGATGGGTATACGTGAGTTTTTAATATCTTGGATAACCGGTTAAAAGCCTCAATCAATTCATCGTTGCTGATAGATAATGTTTCTGCATTTTTCTCTTTCGACTTTTCATCTAAAGTCTTTGATGAATCTTTTTTAACATTGTCCACTATTTTATTTGTATCAACTACGGTTTTATTGTTATTCATATTTGATGTTATACTTTCTAAATTTCTATATTCCGGTACTTTTGATTTGACTCTGTTATAAACATCATCTACATTGTACGATTTACTAAAATCACCTAATGATTTTCCAAAGCCTTCGCTTTTCGTCGCTGGCAGGGCTTGCGGCGTTTTACTAAAATGATCAAACAAATTATATTGAGGTTCAACTATTATGTGATATGTTTCTGCCTTTTTCTCAGGGAGCAATTTTATAACCACTGTTTTACCTTGATGGTATCCGATACCATGGCCGTCGAATGGTTTGTTTTTAGGCGTTTTCTTTTTTACTATAACCTTTTTCGTTGTGGTTTCCTCTCCTTCACTATTAGAGTCCGCATCGCAGTACATTTTGTTGAGTTTTTGTGCATCTTTATCCGAAAGTCCAACTCTTTGACCGATTTGAGCGCCATTCTGAAAATAAAATAAAGTGCAGAATAATACATTTAAACTAAATTTGTACACATTGCGTCGATTAACAGTAAGTCAAGCAACTAAACACGGTATTTCTGATTAAAACAGACAATGTATTCTGATGGGGTCTATTGCAAAAAAATACGTGTGTGTAATGCTGATCGTCACCTGTTTTGGTACGATAGTGTCCTGGCCGTTGGAGGAGAAAGCACGTCGGCTATAGTGCAAAACACTATCGTAGTCGTAGCCCACGCCGAAGTCGGACACAGCGAATGCGTTGTACTTGCGAAAGTTGTGCCGAGCAGCTGTGGATTAATAATATCCTTTTATTGAGAAGTTTCACTCTAATATGCAGGAAGTTAGTCATAAAGTAATCTAATGGAGGCAGTGGTTTTGATTGGAGCAGTTTAGCTATAATATGTTGTCTTTTTAATAAAACAAATTTTGAACAGCTTTAGGTACGTATGTTTTATAGATTTTAATACATTTTTAGACGTAAAATTTATAGCTTATGAATGTCGACAAACGACATCTCAATCTAACCTGACCACTGATGGCGACGATTTGAATTATATAAAAAACGCGCACTGAAGTTGTTTTATAAAGCACGCGGAAATATTATGTAGGTTGTGAGATAAAAATAGACTTTTATTATATATTTAATTTACTACTACTTTGTTACAATTATGTTCTTTAAAATTTATGTAACTTTAAAACTAGGAAATCCTTAAAAATTAAAACACTATCACCCAGTTACACAAATGATCTTTAAAATTTTGTGTATAATCCGACTTTAGCTCTGATGAATTATATAAATTCGTAAATTTGAGTATTGGTACAAGTAATTTTGCTTTAAAGTAATGTCAATTTCAATTTACATTTGTGCAACTGGGTGTTTATCTAACACTCATAACGATAGTGGAGAGAAGAACTACTTGAGAATATGTCATAATTTAAACAAATATTTTTAACCAATAGATGAACTTCTGTCGACGATAGAGATACCAATGTTAGTATTTCCAGTATAAAACTAAAAAAGTAGACCGTCACGAGTATTTCATTTAATTTCTGGTAATGAAAACCTCATTCTACCAACTGAAAATAGTATTTTTTTCTTACAAATTGTATGATAGCACTTTCTCTGTATTCACACGCCTATTTTGTTATGACATGAACCCATTGTCATACAGTCTGAGTACAAATAGCATAGTTTGAATCATTATATACATCTTCAAGTTTCTCTGAGGTCATTGGCTAACCTTTGCTACCGCCAGATAATAACCATGCAAAATTTATTTCTATTCTACAAAATGTATCGCATACTTATTACATAACTGTCACTTTCAATGTAAGTTGGATGCACTAAACTAAATCTAAGTAAGTTTAACAGAACGTTGTTTATTCTAGACAGTTATCAAACATTTGCCGACAGTAATATTAATAAACAAAGTTACCGTGCCTATTAATGGAATACGTACATATTAGTACAGATATTACCTAATTTAAAGCGACCGAGTAATTTTAAAATGGTGAATAAAAGGTGAGATGGACCAACTTCTTACGGTGATAAGAGTAGCGACGATGATAACTTACCATCGGTTATAAAATTTCGAGAAATCAGTGTTGTTTCAGTACATTTCTGTTTTAAAATTCCTTGATCTTTCCTATTTATTCTACGTTACCCTAAATTTTATAACTCACGTTGCACTATATTCTCCCAGACGACATTAACGTAGTCATCTCGATCTGGGCTGCTCTGCATATGGTAGAAGCCCAGAGTGTGCAGTAGTTCGTGTATGACGGTTCCGTGACGAAAGCAACCACGTCCCACTGGATGTCTACCTGACAGATTCAGCACTTGGTAGCCGCTCTGATAACCCACTTGTGAGAAACATCCCCTTCTGTTTCCCTATAAAATGAAATAAATCAAACAAACATTTTGAAAACAAAAAGAATGAGATTTAAAAAATAAAAGCAAGTGCAAGGTCAACATAGCTTGCCTTGGCAAAGAAACCACTTCTTTTGCGCTAATAGGGCCTTGGAAATTGCGAAATAATAAACAAAATCCCTAGTAGCACGGTGGCGTAGTGGATAAACGCCGGGACCCGCTATTTTCGCAAGGATTGGTCTCCGGATATGTGACCAAAAAATTACTGTCTCGAGCTACGCCGTGCTTCGGAAAGCACGTTAAGCCGTTGGTTCCGGCTGCATTTGCAGTCGTTAATACCCTCTAATCCGTATTAAACCAGCGTGGAATGTCATAGTCTATCCTCCTTAAATATCTATAAGAAAAGCCTTAGCTCCTGCAGTGGGGACGTAAAAGGGCTGATGATGATAAAACAAAATTCTACCAAAATAAAAAGAAAGTATTTCGTCGAATACTTACGTTTGTTCTGTAAAACAAAGTGAAATGCAAACTTGAGTAATGTTCAAATTGGAGAAATCTACAACTATATCTTTACATATATGTATAAACGCAGTGTTAGATAATAAAATCTATATATCATTGGTGATAGATACAATAAATAAAAACCCAAGAAGCATTGCATAGATTTAAACAGAGAATGTGAATGTTTGTTAATATATTCAAATCAATATAACCAGTGAAAATAAATATTTTGCTTGTTAATACGTTGTTTTAAGCTGTCATGTTCATTTATATTAGAATATCAAAGACAAGGTACATTGTAGCAATCTTTCAAAAACTATAATTCTAATTTTAAAAACTATTATTTAAAATTTTGAGCAAATCTGCTTAGCTTAGGAAAATTGCTTTATTTTTAGAATTCAAAGAATCCGTAATATTTGAAAAAAATCATGTAGTCACATAATAAAGATTTGTGTAATCCGGGAGACCTGGCCGTTTATGTATTGTAGAGCAAAATCTCTGAATGTCAGTCTCTCGGTCAGTTGGCTAAAATTACCTAACATTAGATTATCTATTGTTTCTTTGTTTGCATCAAATAAGCGAAACTACTGGACCGATTTAAAACAAAAAACAATTTAATCTACAGGAACGAGAAGTTACATCATATGCGGTGAACAAAAAAACAGCAAATAAAGGGATGAAAATGGGAGTGGAAGTTTGTATAGGAAATTAAAATGTTATCTATTAAATTTTTCATTGATATTATTTATCCGTGACATGATATCGATATCTAAATTAACAGTTCCCTAGGGACCACTCAAGCGAAGTCACATGCGGAAAACTAGTCTAGTAATAAAACTTGACATATACCTGTATGATAATAAAACGGATACCGAGAATAATTTTCAACACATTGTTAGATCAGACATATTTTATATTGTATTGGACTTTAACTATCGTTATTTCTAGGTGCAACTGTTTAAATGTTATAAAGATCCTATACTAAAAAGAACACATGATATTATTTATATCACTACATAAAAAACATGAAGTATGAACGTTAAATGTTTAAATCGAACTATATCCTACTAATTTTATAAATGCCGTTTGTGAGGATAGATGTATATATGTATGGTTGTTACTCTTTCACGTGATGGATATGAGAGTGGATTAGCATATAGGCTACTTTTTATCTTTTAGATAGTTCCCTAGTGACTACGCGGGCGGATCCGCTGACGCAAACTATTTCATCAAATTTGATATTTTTTTCATTCACAATGCTATGTATTTTCCAGTATAGCACTGTATATGCAAAAATCGATCAAATATATTTAGAGCTTCACCTTTATCAAAAGTTTAAAATATTTATAAAAATATTTCTGTCGGCTGTTGCTTGGGTGGATTGCCTGAATATTGTTGTATAAAATATGCTCTGTAGTAGCGATAAAGTAATATGTGCTTGAGAAATCCTATTGTCCTATTGTGTAGAGTAGCTCTGTAGTTAGAGCAGTCGCCCGGATTGCAAAAAGTCAAGGGTTCACATCTCATCTCAGGCACAAAGTGATTTTTTAAGCATTATTCGTTAAGAATACTAACTAAATTCATTTTTATTGGATTATATGTAAAATGTAGAGTTGTTACCTGGATGACGACAGCATCTTTATCACCTCTTTGGTAAGGTCTAAATTTGACGCAGGATGCACGAGCTAAGTCCTCTATACCGCTTCGAATCGCATCCACTTGTTCTTCAGCTATAAATATCAATATCAATCATTTAATAGCGTCAGTAACACAAACTACGACTACAACACTTTCTACGACGATCCTTACTGAAATGTTCCTTTTGTATGTAGTAAATGACTTCATTGTCGGGCCACTTCTTGGTGCTATCCCTTAAACCGTTCCTGGATAAACCTTCGGCTATGTCTTCTACTATCATCCGCCTCTGTCTTTCATTGAGAACTAGATCACCTTCGAATTTTCCGCTCTCCTCCCATGCATGGTCCGATACACTTTCGTCTTCGTCAAAATCGTTAGCATCTGTACCCTCTATAAAATGAATATTATTTGAGACAATGTTCGTAAAACTTATTTTAAACTTACATACAAAAATCCTTAAGTGCATCTATAACGCTTGCTTGGAATAAATTAAAATTCTACTGTTAATTAATGACAACATATGATCTTTTACTTGAGTAACACGTGTAGGTACACTGTAAAAACGTTTAATTGATTGGAAAGCTCAACACATTAAAATATTGTTTAATTTTCTACAGAGCTTTTGCGAATGATTACTAATATTGACAAGTTTTACTTACTTTTCAAAGTTTCATCCAAGTGAGAAGTCTTTTTCAAAAAGTTGGCAAAATCTTCTAATTCACTTATAGACATCGCTGTACACTTCACAACATAACAAACGAGAACCATTGCAAATACGTCTCTCAACTCCATTGTATTGTTATTGTGGAAAATATATTTAAACGGTACTTAGATATAAAAGTCTTTTAATTAAACATACAAATAATTCACACGTATCTGACATATTAAACATAATATAGAGACATTTTAGTGCGCGCAATTCTCTGACGCTTACTATGTGAAACCTGTATGATTTTTTCTGTCGAACAAAACCCATCGGAGTGGGGTTGGAATTAATATAGGTCCAGATACGACCATTTCACAAGGTGTTAGGCCGCAACTGCTCGGGCGCAGCTTGCGACAGCCGCGCGTCGCCCGCGCGCCAGTGTCAGCCACCACTTCCACGTTCTTAACATGCAAGAGTGGTTGCTAAATTTTACCGCCTCAGTTGCTTTTCCAATTCATATAATGACTTTTTCGCCCAACAATGCTCCGATACTCATTACAATAATTGGATTATTGAAACAGATTTAACAAAAAAATGTTTGCGATGTAAATTGTTCGGTTACGTACACAAACAACTTTTAAGACAGGTACCTACTAATTGTATTTCGTAAATGTTACACTTGTTTTAAAGAATTGACAGAATTAACACAATAAAGCTTTAAGTCAGAATCGTCATTATTCATGAAAAATTAAAAGTCACTGGACTCTTTTTTTGCGTCGTAGGGGCAATGTGATACGCCTTGACAGGCGACAGGGGTATGTAGGACTCTCCAACCTCTTGGATTCGCGACAGGCTAGTCAACACCCAGTTAAAATACTCACTAAACCCACTCCGATGAATCCTCACTTCGATGAAATATGCTTGAGATCCGGTAAGGACCCCTCTAAGCCGAGCCCCGTATAATCAGTAGCGTAATGCAGTATATAAAAATTTTGGTGATATTTTTTTGATTTATTTTAATCCACAAACTTAGACCACATTGGAAGATTTGAGAGATAACTTTGTTGGTAAACATATAAGCAAACAAAATATAGCTATTGCGTATTCACGTCTTTGAGCGAAAAAGCAACAAAGAACATCAAAAAACATTCGTGAAAACACTTTTTAAGAATAAATTATAATATAGAGAGTAAATCAATTGCTAAATAATTTATTCTGATTCTCCAATAATCATAAATTTGAACAATTTGCAGCCCGTTGAACCCATAAAATGTAAAACCTCTTATCTCACGTGCTAGGGTGGTATTTGTAGAGTATCCATTAGAACTGAAATTTCTAATCATAGTAATGAGACGTTTTTGAAAGAGACGAAGAATAACAGTTTTGAAGTGTTGAAGTAAATAAATGAGATTGTATCTAAAATATGTTTTAGCAGATAGAGATAACTTGATTTATTTCTTGCAAAATATAAACAAGCTTAAATGATACACCGCCGATATTGAAAAGGCAGACAATAGTGGCAAAGAAGTGGTGGGAAAACTTCATGGCAAACAAAAACTTGCTCGATATAGGTATACATTGTGCTGCTGATTCCAAAGTTAAAGTACGTAAACGAGAGAATATTTTAAATGCAGAGCGCCTATGCCATGCGGCAGTGCCGCTAAAAATAATTCAACGTTCAATTGTGTTTAAGAAAAATACTAAGGTAAACAAGAAAAACTAATTGTTGCTAAACAGATTTCAGGATTTATTTTGAAATTTAACTTAATGGATTGTTTTTTTTAAGATAAACAGTGTGAAAACTCGACGTAAACAATTTGCAATTACGCTTTTAATTTTTATGACATTAAAAACAGCAGTCTGATTCTGAAGACAAATCGACCTAACAGTCTAGCCACTAAAATTAGTCACCGTAAATTGAACTTTTTTTGCATACAAATCATACTTCGATGAAAAACTATTTTCGCATGAAATTGGGTTAGCGAAGATTATTCAACCTTCAAATAGTAATGTTTTTGTAATTAAGTATTTATTCAATGCCATTACCAGTTTATGGCGAAATCTTGAACTGTTAATAATAACATCATATTTTAAATGGCGTGAAGGTAGGGCCGTGGTGTCGATTTCACGACCTTGTTTAGAAAAGATTTCAACAGGGAACATTGTTGATACTAGATACACTTTCCATAGTAGATAATTGATAGATATTGTACCTACTATTGGTATTGTATCTAGTTTTCTATAACGCCGATAAACGACATCTAATGTACTGACAAATGATTAAGAAGTTTATTAGAAACTACAAATAACTATGTTGCTTTAGTTGTTTTCAAAACTATGAAACTTATTTAGGAGCGTGCTATAATATAGGACGTAATTTTTTTTTATAAATGAATACTTTCAATTTTAAAGACATATGACTAAGTAGGCACTAATACCTTGGTAATATAATATATAGAAAAAATGATATGATTTCAATTTTTGAGAATTAAGAGAGATGAGCATTTGAGAATTAAGGTACGAATTTCAACTGTAATGTTAATTAACATAGGTAGGTTTTACATAAATTGCCTTTCTTAATGTCAAACTGAATTTTGTGTCAAGTCAGCTTCTATTTTTGTCCGTGTCAATCTTTCTCAATTTTACATACTAGGTATAAATAAAAAATAATTTATTATATTTGATGAGGTTTGCATTCACAATGCTTACTGGAAAATATGCCTAATGAAAAATTCTTAAAAAACCACAAGTACCTGTAGTACTTTTTAAGTATTTTTGATTAAGAATATTTTTCAGTATAGCATTGTTAATGCAAAATTGATTAAATATAATAATTAGAACAAATTGTAATCTTAATCGAAAGTTTAAATATTTATAAAAACGTTTCTTTCAACTATTTGGGTGGCCATTTTTCATTAAGAAAAAAAAATATTTTTCCTATCTGTTAGCCCAAACAAGCGTTATTCGTTGGCTATATATGGCATATGACCTATTCTACGAATATTTTGAAAGATTAGAGCCTTTAGGGTTAATACAAGTGCGGCCCGCCTTTCATTAATTTTGCCACCTTGTGGTTCTCGATATTTTTCTCTGTATCCGTCCTTATTATTTAGTCTCGTTTCCTTTTCGCTAACACTTAAGCGCTATATACAACAAATTACATTATCTTATTCAACTACATCATTATACAATTTCTTTTTAATTACCTTACCTCACTAATGTTATGCTAAATAGTTTCACTGCGTAATGTCATGGTAACCGATGCAATGATGCGCGACAATGGTCACCTTTAAACAGCCACGTCAAAGGCCTTAAAGACCTTCGACCGTTTCTTTACTCCTATGCCTTCGTCATCAGTTGCAATATCACTCTCTCTTTCTCTGAAATGCCTGATCGAATACCGGTCAGTAGGCCTATTCGCTAACTCAATCGACAGTTTATAATCGTAATCACAGTAAAAAGTGAATAAATCCAATGATTTTTTTAAATATTTTCCAGTATAGCATTCTGAATGCAAAATTGTTCCAATATTTATAATAATTAGAAGAAATTTTCTTTTTTATCGAAAGTTCAAATATTTGTAAAAATATTTCTTTCGACTGTTTGGGTGGATTGCCTGAACATCAACGACATTACGCTCTGTAGTAGCGAAGTAACAAGTGCTTGAAAAATTCGTCTGTCCTGTTACGTCCTTTGTAGCTCAATGGTTAGAGCAGTCACCCGATTTGTGAAAGGTCGTGGGGTCGAATCTCATCTCAGAATACCAGGAAGAAATTTGATTTTTTAAGTATTTTTCATTAAGAATAAATTTACTTAATCGTATGACCGCTTGCCCTATGAGAGCTATGTCAACAGTTTATTTCGATTATCTTCAGAGTTACAGAATAAGGGGGTAGGTTAATATAAAAACTGTTTTTTTTGTATTTACTCGTGTCAAGTGATAACTTTGTTGTTCCACAATTGCCCTAAAGCTTTTGATCAGTTACACTACTGTTAGAATATATTTTATTACTGTAGTAGTGACATAAAATTAGGCCCATTGAATACCTGATTTTCCCTCCCAAGATTGAGTTAACGGGTAGCCCGACCACGCTTTGACCTTGGCTTTGTGACCGTTAAGTTCGAATGGTCTAGATACCAGGTGCCTTCCCGTGACTTCGCCCGCTTAAATTATAGTCTGTCGCCCGCGTATGTATATATATGTAGATAATAGGTGAGATAATTTTCATGATCGGATGAAAATAGATAGATCTTGATTTGCGTCAAACATGGTATTTATGGTTTTACAAAAATAACTATATTAATAATAATATAATAATAATATAATCTTTATTGCACACATACAGATAGGAAAACAAAATGAAATTACACGGTAAACAATACAGAGTACACAAAAGGCGGCCTTATCGCTAGACAGCGATCTCTTCCAGGCAACCTATGGAGGAGAATAATAAAAGGAAAGGGAATATATGGGGTATTGGGTGCAATAGTCAGAAGGGATAAGATATATCTTACACATATATTACATACATTTTAAATAAGAAAGTATAAGTAAATAGCATTAGCATAGAGAAAGGAAATAGCTTTCAACTCGATCGCCGAAAGAATTTAGTGAGCGACTGTTCCTGACATCCTCCGGGAGAGAATTCCATAAACGCACAGCATGTACAGAAAAGGAATAGGAGAAGAAATCTTCTTCTTCTTCTTCTTTTCTTCTTCTTTTATTAATGGCCCGTCTGCGCTTTTCGCACAATTCCGCCAAAGGAGAAGAAATCGGAAGTATGACGCGGGATGTCCAAAGTGAGGTTGGATGAGCATCGCAAGGAACTCAGTGACAAAGAAGAACGAAAAGAGAAACATTGTTTGACATAATGTGGAGAGGAAGGTAGGAAAAGTATAGAATATAGTAACTTTAAAGTATGTAAGTCCCTGCGCCGGCGAATAGGGAGCCAAGACAATCTGGAACGAAAATTCGACACATGGTCAAATTTACGAAGGTTGAAAATGAATCGGATACAAATATTCTGCAGACGCTCCAATTTGTTAAGAAGTTCCTCTGATAGATCAGTGTAACAAACATCAGCGTAGTCTATGATCGATAATAATAACGAATACGCTAAAGAGACTTTAGTTCTAGTAGGCAAAA